AAGAACATGAATCTCTTAAATCCTAAATTATGTTATTCTTGGACAGTAATGAAGCTTTTCATGGTGCTGAGAAGTTGTGAAGTACAGATCCAACCATCCAGCCTTTATTTTTGAGGATGAATCTGTGTAATGACAGATATATTTTTGAGGATACATCTGTGTAATGACAGATATGTTTTTGATATTATATTTTTTATATTCATACTGAGGTGCACTGTGTCACTCAGGCATGGTCAGGTTTGGAAACATTTTCTATCTTGAGAGAAAGAATTACATTTAATTATCAGAGTCAGAAGAGGGGAAAGCCTTTCATTCCAATTCTAGTTATTGTGAAGAATAAAAGCAGTTATGAAGAAAAGAAGAAGATTGTGGATGATTCAGTGTTTTCAGTATTGCCCGTTGTAGTGGTTTTGGTTTGTTAATTTGAGATTTTGTTAATTTTGAGGGTTTTTTTGGCTAATGTATCAAGAAGTGTGGTGAGTTTAGTGTTGGTTAATTATTAGTGTACTTACTTTTTATTGTGAGGTAGGATTAGGAGGAAGGTTAAGTAGGTTTAAAATTTTTAAAGGGTATAAAGAAAAATTTGTTAATAGTAATTAAAGAGTAATAAGAATTAGAATAACAATTTTAGACTATTTTCATTTTTTATAACTTTTTTCTTTTTATTGACAATGTAAAGAAATAAAATTTTAGTTAGTTTACTACTTTTAGAATAGTCTTTAGTTTACTTAGGGAAAGAACCCACGAAGTTCACAAAGTTCTAGTTAAAATGTTGTTGGTTTTGGTTTTTTTTTAATTAAGGAATGAGATACATTAATCAGCAAGGAAAAACAGTGACCATCTAGGTATTTTTTTGAGTCTTCAGGCAGGCTGATGAAGGCACGTTGGCTTTTAGTGAACACAGACATGCCTTCAAACAGCTCCTACATGTTCTGCCTCTTTTTCCTCTTACGGCCTGGTGTAAATGGAATTGAGGGTATCTGAAGCTGGGATAACAGTGATAAAGTTGAGATGCAAATCTGGAGGTAAAAAATCTGCTTATTATTCTTTATGTAGAGTATAAAGAGTTACAAAGTTATACTCTGATCTTGAATGGGATTGGAATTTCCCCCCCCCCCACTTTGTGCTCAAGTACATCTCGGAATGTATTTAACCAAGTTAATAAAACTGCTGGAGCTCAGGCCGTTGGTCCTCAAAATATCCAAAGGCAGAGCTCCTTCTGCAGACTGCAGCTCGTTATGTACAGAGCCTCCTCAGAGCCCATGTAGTTCACAACCCCCACATCCAGAATAATTCAGGATGTCTTTGCTTTAGAACAGCTGTTGGCATAGAAAATTGTGTGGCTGTGAAATGTGGTAGCCTCAGAAATGTCTTAAATCTCAGTGTCCCTTGCAGAGGGACAAGAACATGGCACATCTAAGAAGCATTCTTCAGCTAAGCATGGTGGTTATTAGGTGGTGGCATTTACAAAGCAGTTTAGAGTTGGTTTTGGCCTGAGAGAGTTCTTGGAGTGCTCCTGGTCCTTTCTCCTTTTCCTTGCAAGGGGCAAGACAGAATAAACCAGACCTAAGCTGAGGCATGTGCTCTTCTATTGTCAGGAGTTTTTTATTATGTCAAAATAAAAACTCTTTCTTGTGTTAGGTATTAAAACCAAGCTATATTGGAAAAAAAAATAAACAAAAAGGAAGAGAAAAATGCTGTTTCAGATGGATACTTTGATGGATTTTCATCTCTGGCAGCCAAAATCTTTTATCAGCTTCAGGTGAAACCATATTTTTTTCCTTAATCTGCTTTGTTCTCAGCAGCAGTTAGGACACACCGCAGTGCCAAATTGTGTTGCACTGATGGTGTATGTGCCTCTGATTGTTTTAGACTATGTTTTTTGGACGTCAGCAGCTGGGATTTGTGGTGCCTCCCTGCCACACAGGGCCATGGAAGAAGGTTTTGTTCTCTCACTGGAAGGCAGGAACTCTTTCTCAGTGTTACATGAGGTTATTTAAGCAGCTTGGAGAACTTCTCACCCTTTGATCTCTGTTCTTTTTTCAGCATAAATACATTTCATGTGTAAAACACACAAATTTTTGTAGTTAATGTCCCCGTCTCAAGTTTGACTTTCCCCATTACTACATGACAACAAGGAGCCAGCAGCACAAATGACAGGTGTTTGCAGTCATTCTAGGGCAAAAAAATATTAAACAGCTGTAAGAAATATTGCTCCTCTTTTCCTCTTTACCTGCAGCAAGGAGAATTGTGCAGTATGCCATTGCCTGCCTTTTGGCTTTGCAGGTGATGTGGAAGCTGCCAGTGGTGGTGTCTGACCAGGGGCGGGCTCAGGGAGTTTGATAAAATGTTTAAGCAAGATTTCATGATCTCTGCAGGCACTTGTTTTCAGAAAAAAGCAGAGGTTACCCACCACTGAAAAAAAATTGCCTGGGAGCAAGTTGGTCTGGAAATGTTGTTTGGGCCTCCAGATTCTTTGCAGAACTCACTTTTTTAAATTAAACTTGATTTGGGTTTTTTTAAATTATGGTTAAATGAGGAATATTTTGAGATTATCAAGTATCAGCAGCTCTTCACTGCAAGACATTTTAATGATAGAAAGTTTAAATCTAGGAAAAATCTATTTATTAAATTATTATTGTGTTTAAATCTATGAATAATTGTATGAGGAAATTAAATCTGCACAATGCTGAACTGTTCAGTATGTGTTTTCAAAGTAACATCTCAGTTGGAAAATAAGATTGATTAACTCTGTTGGGGATAGCCGAGTTATAAAATTAACAGTTCTAAGTAACCTTTTTTTTTTGTTTTTGAAGAAAAATACTTCATACTGTGCTCTTAGAAGTAAATGTGAGTGGTTTGTGTCTGCATGTATGTGAAATGCATCGGGCTGCTTGTCAGCTCTAGTTTGTACTTATGCTTTCTCAGAACCTTTCAGTGCAGTGTTGTTTTCATTTTCTCCCATCTATCTGAAATCTTTGATTTGAAAGCTTGCCTACTTTCTTGCTGGGTAGCTGTAATGGAACTCTGACTAAAGCAAATTTTTTTAAATTGAAACAACTGTTATAAATCTATAAACTTAATGAAAAGTGTAAATACTAAGTCAAAATGCTCATCTTTTTGCAGCTTTCCTACCCAGAAAGCCTAATTTTTACTACCACAGTAATGAGTTTATTGTATGCAAGTGTATTTTTTTAAACAAGCTGTGATAAGTCTGAAAATACAGCTCAGTACACAATCGTTCTCATGAATAGTCTTTACCAGGCTTTTGCAGTTCATTTGTAACAGCAGAAAAAATAAAATTACTTGCTCAAAGGTGTGGTTTGTATTTTTTGCTGAGCTGCAGAAACACATAGATACAGTTGCTCTATTTTTGCAACTTTATGAAGTTATAAAGTTTATAAAAGTTTTCATAATTTCCATTGCCTGGTACCTCAGAGAGGGTAGTGACCAACCCCAGAAGGAGAAAGAAGCAACTATATGAAATCTCTTTTTTTTTTTTTTCCATAATTATAGATGCTATGTTAATTTATGCTAAATGAACAAAGTAGCATATATTGTTAGTAAGGTTATGTATAGAAATATGCACATTAATAGTTCTTAATTATAATAATTATTAGTTAATATTAATTATTATTAAAATAAGAATATTTAAATCATTAGTAATAAAGAATATTAAAATTAATGTAAATAAAACACATAACATATAATAAAATAAAAATTGATATAATTAATAAATACTAGATTTATTATTAAAATATAACTATGATTGCCTATTAGTAATTAATATTAAAATTAATGTTAATTTATTGCTAGATGTTAATTTTAATTATTCATTTAATGTTATTAATAGTAAATTAGTGTTACACTAAACCTAAAATGGATGTGTTTAAACTTTCATTGTCTCCTTTCTGCATGTGTCTGTTTTTGCCATGTGTCCCCACACAAAGCCATGAATGTCACCTGGTGTTGATGGTCGGCAAAAGCCCTGCCTGTGTGCAGTGTTTGATGGGTGTCCCATCCTTCAATCCAGCTTCTTCTTCTGAAGGTTTCAAATTTGCTTTTTCTGTATCTCCACACACAATAGAGGGCTACTGGCTAGCTCTGTGTGTGTTTAACCCTTGAGGCACGTCACAGTTCTTCCTCAAGAGTCTTTGCTCAAGGAAAAGAGAGTTTTCAGCTAAGCCTTGTTCTGTTTTAAGCAGACAGAGGTTCTGTGCCCTCCATCTTACAGGGATGGTGTGATAAAGTTGGGGCAGAAAACTTTGGTGCACTTTATTTTTCCAGTAGAAGCCCATTGCATGAGTTCTGAATTAATCACATGTTGTTTGCTTTTTCAGCAGTGCAGCAAAGGCAGAAAGTACATTAGAAACTTTCTAGAAATCCAGAATTGGACATTCCCCCTTTCCTTTCCTGTGTTTGTGTCCATGAGATATCCATCACGAGCAGGTATCATGCCTGATGGTTGGCAGAAGAGAAAATTCCAACCATCCTGTTGCAGTGGCTTTCAGCTGGTGTCTGTAGGCTGCTGTGGTCTGTTGGAGACTTCTGAAAGATTTACAGCAGCTAACAAAGTTCTTATGTTAAAATAGGCTTAAATTTGCTGTGGGAAAAGGCTTAAATAGGCTTAAATATGCAGGGAACTTGCTCACTGTCAGAAATGGAGTTGTTTAGGAGGTCAGCCTCTAAAGAAAGGTTACAAAAAAAAAATATGGATCCTACTCAAGATGAAGTAGAGCATCAAATGTGGTATTTCCATTCTGCATTCTTTCTTTTACTTCTGTAATTCATTTTTCCAATAATAATTACATGAGATTTTTTCCTGCTTAGTAGGAGCCAGTCCTTCAGAAGAGTTCTTATAATCAGGCTTTGTTACAGATTTTGCAGCTGCCCATTATACTCAGATAACTGTGTTATCTGGCTGGAGGGGAGTGTGGATAACGACCTGAACTGCCATTTCTCCTGCAGATAGCTGACATTCTTCTGCTCTCTACCTGTAGGAACTTCCAGCCCCTTTGCTTGATGATTCCTATGGGAAGGAATTGGGAGATGAAGCAGCAGCTGTAAAATCTGAGGATTTTCAGGATTCTATGAAAATAGCGTGGCGCTACCAAAATTTACCAAAAATTGAGGTAATGGCTATTTCCTGCGTCTTTCCTCTTGCACTCAAAACGAATCTGAAAAGCAAATGCTTTTCAGGAGGACCTGGACAACAGAACTGCTGATGGGCAGTGTTACAGGATTGCCTCTTGAGGAAAACTATCATATATCACTGAATGTTTTAATTACTAGTGATGCAAAAAGAAAGGGAATTTGAGAGTTTGCAGGTACTCCAAAACTCAATACAGACAATAGTAATTTAAAAGTTAAAAACCATTTAAGTTCCATGGGATTTTTCAATGAGTATTATCAAATTGAGACAGCTTTTTTGAAAATTTGTTTGCCTCCAAACTGGGTCAAATTTAGTTGCACACAAATTACTTAAGTAGGTTTAATCAACAGGACTTAGTGGATGTCTGCAGTGGAAGTGGTGTGTGGAAGCAAGCTGCTGACCTGCTTATCCGTGTGCATAACAACGAAAGCAAGCCCTTGAGATTCTATCAGCCTCACTGTCACTGGGAGCTAATCACTGTGCAGGGACAATGTAAGGAACAAGCTCAGTGGTCAGTCTTTCAGAGTTTACAGTTGTTGGTGTTTTGTGGATAATCAATCTCCCATGGCTGGTGGCTTTCTTATTTAATCCAGTGGCACAATCAGTCTTTAACAAAATTACAGCATTTCTGACTATCCAGAATAGAATCCTGCGTTTGTCTGTACATTTTAGTCTACGTTTATAAATTCTGGTTTAGATGTAGTCATACCTGCCTAGTAAGTTCAGTTGTATTCTTAAAAACATAATTGGAATGTGACAAAATGATCTTACAAGGCTTGGCATGTTTGGTTTTCTGTGAAATTGCACAGACATGGCTATATAGTTGTGTCAGAAAAGACTTATATATGGTGACATGCCAAATCAAACACCCTCCAGGGTAATCATATAATCTCATCAATTTTATTATTGTGGAGCTTGCTGTGCCACTCTGAACCATCCCCAAATTAATTTGTCTGTTTCAAAGTCTAGCAGAGTTCTTTGTACGTTGATATGAAAACAATTGCATGTTGTTAACAAATTGTGTTCTGATGTTCTAACAAAATAGAAAAATTAGTTGAAAATTCAGTTGGGTTTCCACTCATCTTCTTTAACTTCATAGCAGTAACCACTTCTTCCACTAATGTAATATTTCTTGAAAATGCATGATGTATTGAAATTGATTACTGAAAATTGACACCCTTGATTACTGAAAATTGATGATGCAAGATAGAATAAGATGGTCAGTCTTTTTCAGGGAGTTTCCCTTGTTATTGTTGCTTTTTGAATTGGACCTTGGTCATTCTCCATAGCTGAGGCACAATAGTTTTATGTGTATGTTAAATTTATTCAAAAGTTAAAACACACAAATAAAAGTATCAGTCTTAAACTATCTTTACTTTAAATTCCTGAGGACATTTTCATTGATGAAAAATTGGTTTGAAATTGATATTTTTCAATATTTTGTATTGCAGTTGTCATGAAATTTTGGCTCTGTTCTATGTTAATTGGATTGGTGATCATACTCCACTGAGGAAAAATCTGATACTGCCTTGCTACCCATAACAGTACATTTAGTTCAATAATTTAATGAACAACTTTGGTTGTGATTCCTCCTTTAAATGTTCCTTTGCTGGTAAAAACCAATGTTGAATAAAATTTCAAGGCATATTTCCCAAACTGATTGAACTAATATGCCAGTGCATTTTCAAAAACTACTGTCAAATAGTTTCAATAGTGAAAGAGAAAAATTAGCTCTGCTTTTAGCTAGAACTCTAACCATGATAGCAGAAACTTTTCTATCCACTATCTGGCTAAATACAGAGCAGGAATGCTGAGTAAAAGGTGCCTTTGTGGTATTTTTGATGATTGATTTGTTTACTGTTTCTGAGTAATAATAGATTTTTGATTGGTAGTTCAGATGTTCCCTTTGCATGTATTCAACCCTGTTTAGACTAGCCAGTACCTCGTTTTTGTTCTTAGGCATGCTATTTGCATTAGTGCTCTTCACAGCTGTCACAGTTTCTCTCTACATATTGCACATATCTTCCATTAGAAAAAAATCGAAGATTTATAAGAAATCTTATGAAGGAGTGAAAGACCTTGTTAAGCTTGATGTGCCTTTGCCAGTTTCTTACTTACGTTTGTATCAGAGGTGAATTAAATTTCAACTTTTTGAGTATATGGAGAGCCTGTTTTGCAATGCAAGACAGTATGGTTTTTTTGGTTTTTTTTTTTTTTTTTTAATGAACTGCTTATGTTCTTGGGGCAATATATAAACTGTCACAGCATGAAATCAATTTTCTGCCTTGGTTCATCCTAAATCTGAGATTTCTAGCACATTAGTATCGCAATTAGAAACATTAACAGCAGACGGTAGTGGAAAAGCGCACTCTGCTCACTGACAATTCAGAGTATTTCTCCTTGTGCAAACCAGGAATCCAGGAAAGAGCTGGCCTGAGCTTCCAGCCCCCTAAGGAATGTAGTGATGCCTTCTTAAGGAGCTGGAACTGAGGCCAGAAGGAGTTAAGAGGAATAAAGTGGATATTTAATGAAAAGCCTTCAAAGAGCACATCCTGGCAGTGCCCAGATGGCTCCAAGATGGAAGCAAAAGAGGGCTGGTCTTGAGATCTCACATTTTTATAAGCTTTAGTCCATTTGCACACAGGAGCCAACTGCCCAGTTAATAGCTCCAAATTATGAAGTTTCATCCTCCTTGCTTGCTTGCCCACCCTCCTCTTTTCACATTGTTCAGGCTTTGGGCCTGAAGTTTGAAGAGATTGTCCTTGAATCTCCAGCTGGAATGGGATTGTTTTGTCTTCACCACCCTGTGAAAAGATCCTAGTAACACTTAATATAACACCTAAACTAACTTAATATAAAGCTAAAAGCTGCACACCAAACCAGGAGAGAAAAACTTAACCCCCAAGGTATCAGTCAGAGAGGGACGGCGAGTGCGCGCTGGGCACCGCGCGCGGCCGCTCTGCTCCCTTTCATTATTCACGCTTCCTTGAGTCAGGTAGGCTTTCCACCAGCTCCCTGCTAAGCCTGGGAATGCAGGACACTGAGCCCTATTCAGGGCCCTCTACCATGGACCCAGCTTTTATTGCTTTTATGGGGTTTTATTAGCGCCAAATCCCAGGCTCCACCCAGTTTGTAGGCGCTGTGCTCATTCTTTGGAAGGAGAGAGGTTATCACCTACCTTAATCCCTGCAGCGGGGTGGATTAAGGACACCAATGTGCCTCAGGATTCTCAAAGAGGATCCTGGAAACTTCTTGTTTCTTCTTTTTTGCTGTCTTTACTAAACTCTATTGGGCCTCAGGAAGGATTTGCATCTGAAATGGGCAACCTGGAGCTTTTCTCAATGAAGACATCAGATCAAAGTTCAGTTAGTCAAGGCCTTTCTAAAACATTAAGGGGGCTTGGAAGTACACAATAAAAAGATGAGCTCTGGCAGAGATTGCAGTAAAAACATTCTGATCTGTAATCCGGATAAAGAATAGATTATAGGCCAAAGAACAGCCCCTGTTTAAATTGCTTTCAGAATCCTTGTTTTGAATAAAGTTACATTTCAGAATAAAAACACTTAAATTTTGATGGAATGTTATGTTTTATTGAACTGTCTGCTTTAAAAATCAGATACCAAGAAATAAATCGGTACACTGATTTAGAGAATGTGCTTTTCTATATATATATATATATTTTACTAAAACTGGTTTGCCTCTAATGACTAGATATTCATAAGCAATTCCATTGGGTTTTTTAAATGAAAAACTAATTATTTCTTTTAACTAAAAGTTTGGGTTTCATTGGTTATTCCAGGAAAAGTATTGCATTATTGTTACTGTTGATATTCTCTGCTAACTGACCAAGCCTAACAGCTATTAGTCAAATAACTTCAAAATATGTGCCCTAAATCAAATCATTCTAATTAATCTTAACAGTTCAATGCATTTTCTGGTAAAATACTATCTACTTGAATATTTTATGGTATAACAATCTGAAGGGGGAGTACCTAAACCAGGATAGGGGTGTTAACTTTACATGTATAATTCAAATAATGTTGCAGGTTCTGTTCTGAATTCCGTTAATGCGCAGCAAACAGATGCATTTATTTCCTCTATTTAATAGCACAGCATGTTCAAAATGTGTAATTCTTGCACAGGTATACATTAAATTTGGTTTATGGTGTTTCATATACCAAAATTAAGATCTGAAGAAAATGTATCTTCATTATGGCAAATCATAGTTATTGCATGTAATGCTCAGCCTACTGTTTATTTGATTTTCAAGGAATTGAAAATAATTTTAAACTATTTCCTATTTTTCTAATAAAATCACTTACATGGAGATGCAATGGTTCATTTTTTCACTGATCATAAATACAGAGAAACATTTTCCAAGTCAGCAGAAAATATTTCTGTAGCACCCATCTAATTGTCAGAGACTGAAAAATCAGAGACTGAACACATGGTGTTCTGCTGATTTCATACATCTGGACTTGGCAAATTTGTGATCATTTGTCTAGAACTTGTGCAAAAAAGACATTATTTTAATGATCTGACTGCACTTTGGTGCTGCAACTTGGAATAGTAAAGGTTGAACTCTGTGTGAAAGATTCACATTCAAGTATGACAATGGGGAGTAGTAAATATTATAATGTTTTTCTACTTGAAGCTTTTATTTAGGCTGAATTGGAAAAAAACCCCAGAGGTTTGAAGTGTATTGCCAGTTAATTACTTTTCTTTGACAGATAATAGTTTAAGATTGTAATCAGTATTGTTGTTTCCACAGACCAGCCCAACAACATATACAAAGTTTGGCCATTATTATGATATTTCTAAAAAAATATCTCCAGAACTGTGTCAGTCTGTAAAATTGCACCGTTTTTACCTCCATGAAGAATTGCCTTTTGAGCCTAAAATGAAAACATGGTAAGTTTTGACACCACGGGTCTGTTGTGTGTTTAGATTTTGCATGCACATTGGCAGGAAATTATAATTTTGGGTTTGCACTTCCTGGGGTGGCACAGGGACAGCTCAGAGCTCTGCTCCCATCTGGGGGAGTGTTGGAACCCTGGTTGCTGAGAATTTCAGACTTTCTGTGCTGGCAGGCACTGACCCCCAAGAGAACACTGCATTGACCTGAGGCCATGGAGAAGGCTTCCAAAATGGAATGACAGAACTGGGATTGTGGCTGTGGAGTTTGAATAGAAGTGTGTGATATCTCGGGGGAAAACTCTGAGTTTGGGGTTTTTAGAATACAGTAATATATATAAAGCAAGATGGAGGTTTTAGGTTGGTCCTTCTTCTTCACCTTCTTCTCCATGGGTTTGGGGTGGTATTTTGTAGTTGGTCGGGAAACTCCACATTGCAGACTTCAAGTGATCAGTTATTGGGTTAGAAATGAAAATAATTCAGATGTCATTTCTTAATTGGACAGTTTAGCCTTAAAGGCCCTTGTAACAAAAGATAGTTGGCCATTTTGTGCCTTATTAGTGAAGAACTGCAGAACTCACTGCCTGTGAGACTGTGACATAGATAAGAACTAATAAACACCTGAGTCTGAACGTGAACTATCCTCTCAAGTGCCTTCAATCCCAATCCAGCCAGAGGAATGAGGAAGCTGAAAACTGGCAGGGGAGGGAGCAGGTTGGCAGTGACAATTAAGGCAGACATTACTAGGACAGCCTTGGCTGCATGTTGAGCCCAGCCCTGCTGACAGCCCGGCGTGGGGACCGGGAGAGCTGTTCCTGTCTGGCTGAGAATCCTCCCTGAGCACCGTGCCCCAGCAGCTCAGGGATGGGCTTGTCAGGTGGCTATCAGCCTTAAAAGGATCTCTACAGTTTTCAGGGCTTAGGAGACAGGCCATCCTTGACCTACATAGCTTGGAGTGCTAGATCAGATTAGTTGATGGTGTGCTTTTAAGTCTTACGTCCTACAGCTTCACCTAAGGAAAATGCACTATACTGTGAATAAAATTACAATCACTAATTATGTCTTACAAAATATTTCCTATTCAAACTCTTCTTGGAATGAAGAGTTTGGAATAACTCATTATGTTTATGGCTGTCAGTAGTGAATTAAGGAAGACTGAGAGAAATTGAGTGACAGTAGCAAAGACTCATCCTAGCCTGTAGACACACGTCCATTGTATCTTTCTTGGAGACACGTCAAGTCAAACATCAAGGCTGGGCCAGTAATTTCTTTGTCCAGCCCAGTCACTGAATTTATATAATAGTATAATTTATATAATTCATGTAATACCTAGCTTTATAGATCCCAGTGTATAAGGCCAGCTCATGGAGGCAGTGTGGGATTCATTGGGATTGATTTCCACTGCAGTGCACTCATACAAAACCTCAGATTTATGAAAGAAGTGCAGTATGACCCACCTTTCTTAGAGCTGTAGCAAAGCAAAAGCCAAGTCTCTCTCTGATTTGTTCTGTGTTACATGATGAAATGCCTCTGCTTTGTGAAGTAAATTCTTGTGATAATGTAAAAAACCCCAATTTTAGGACAAAGCAGAGAACTTCTTTCTATATGAGTATTTGAACCAACTTTATATGTTAATGTTATAATTTCTAATTTTTAGTAGCAGAGCAATAGAGGATGGACACAAAAATATCTGACAGGTTGCAAGTGTTGTTACAGTTACTGAGCAATTTAACTCCCTTTCTCTTCTCTAGCTAATGAGAATGTTGTGACTCATCCACTAATGATATAGATGTCAAGTATTACTTTATTTTACATTAAAATCAAATTAACTCATCAGTATAGTGTAAGGAATGGACTTTATGCATTTGATTTTATAAGCCTTGTTTAATGCTGATATTATGCTTGTGTGCTAGCCTGTTAAAAGTGCATCATTCTTACTATGTGAGTTCTACTCTTTTTTTTTTTTTTAGTTTGAATCTAACAGAAAGACTGGATTTATGTCATTTTCTTGGCAAATTGGTAGAGCACAGAGTGATGAGTTGAGGTACACAATCAAATAAAGCTGGCCTTTGGAAGGCTTCTGTCCTTTTCCTCTCCCTGCCACCTCAACATGGGTCTCCTTCAAGATGCCTCTCCCAAGGAAATGAAGAAATTGTGGCATTGGGAGTAAAGGCAGGTACCAAAGTAACAGCCAGCCACCATTCCAAACATTGTCATGCAGTCTAAAAACTACATGACATATGACAGGGAGGAATAGAGACCACAATGGGAATAGCAAACTCTTAGAAATCTGTGGGAAATGTAGAGTTGTGTAAGTCTCTTTCTTTATAGTAGATCATTTGTCTTCTAACTTTAATTATTGTCATTTCTGACCACAAACACAGTTGGTTTTGGATTCCCTATTTTAAAAAGGTTGTACTAGGTCAGTGTTAAGATATGGTGGGAAGGAAGAGTTTTTCAAAATTACAGTCCCTGATGTAAGGCTTAAAAAGAAGAATGGAAGTTCTTGAAAAAATGGAAGCAGAGTTGAAAGCTGACATGCAGAGGATGCAACTCTGTCTTCTGCAATCATGGGCTGCAGTAAATATGGTAGAAATAGAGGCAGGAAATATAGAGATCTTTTTCTAATGATTTGCACAAGAAGTTGCCTTGCAGACAAGAATATTGTAGAATCTCCATCACTAAAAATTCCTAAGGACAAGCTAGATAAACATCTGTCAGACTAAATGAGGTCCTTTTCATCCCTGTCATTTGTGATTCTTTAATTCACATTAGTCATGGTGTCTAAATTAAATTAAATCCAAAAAAAGAAATTAATTTTATTTCACCTGTTCCTCAGTGAGTGAACTGTCTCTAATTGTAGCTAATGTCTTTTTTTAGATCATTTCAGAGTTTCTCTTGCAGGATCAGAGATGTAGGGACTATATATAGGCCAGAAACTCTTTGCCCTTTAGAGAAATCATGTATATTTATACATATATATATATATATATATATATGTATGTCCCTCTCTGGCTATCCACACAAGCACTTGGTTTCTTTATGGACTTGGAAAGAAAGGTGATTTTTTTTTTTTGACTGTTTAGATTAAAATTGGCCTTTCCTTTGCAATTAAAAATGAATTTTGGAGGTCATCAACATCATTTGTTCACCTTAAAGTTTGGATCAGTCCTCCTTTTGTTTCCTGTGTTTCACATGTGTGTGTACCTGGTTTTTGACAGAGGGAGGGGCAAAGTGTTCCCTATAAACTGGCACCTGCCAGACTGTGTAGGCATAAGATTTATAGCCATGTTTGCTCTCCTTCCTGCAATTCTGGGACCTGATGGCTGAATTAGACCACGGGGTTGCCTTGGGATAATCATTCAAGGTGGATGGAAGTTCATTTCCCCATGATAAAAACTAATTGAAGACAGGTTGTGAAGCCAGCGCTCCTAAAGGAAGCAGTAAATGGGCCAGGGTGTTTGGTGCCACAAGAAGGCAGAAACCCTCCCTGTCTTATCTCACTTTTATGCTGGGGAAGGGTAGTTGTGTCCTGGTGCTGGGCCCAGCTTTGCAGGGATGTGTGGCTGCCAGCAGCTGCTCTGCAGGCGTTGTTGCCAGGATGTTCCGTGTCCTGGTCGCTGCACTGGTGCCCAGCAGGAAGGCAGGGATATCCTCTCTGGTGGCCCTGTGCACTGCAGGCAACACTTATTTTCCATCTCTGCTTTCAGGCTCCTTCTTCAGGGCAGTAACCAAACAAGAAGGTTTGCTAATCAAAGGAACCAAAATAATTAAGTTGTAGTTTTTCAGTAACACTTGTAAATCTTGCCTTAAGAAAGTACGTGCTTTTGAAAAAAGAATAAGTTTATCTAGAGACCAGATTTACCAATAAATGTAGATAAAACAGGTTTGACTGTCTTGCCTAATGGAGTCTCCTTTTCCATAACAAGGCTATTTGTCATACCCTTGATAACCCAACCTTTGTTAACTGCTTGGAAACTATCAGCAGAGAAGTCAGAGCCTTTGCTGTAACCAGGATACCTTCTTGCCACCTCCTGCTTTGTCCATTACTAAAGTGCTAAACAAAAAAAAAGAGTAAAGAAGGAATCGTTTAAACTCATTATCAACATCAAGTCGTGTTTAGCAACAAAACCAAAAAAAAGGACTAGAAATTGGAAAATAAGAAATATCTTATTTCCTTCCTTAAATATTGTGACAAACATTGCCAGAAGGGTAATGCAACTTGCTTTTATAAACAGTGTTTCTGCAATATTTTTCATGTTCTTATTTACATAAGATGGGTCAAATTCAAGGAAACCATGAATATTTTAGAAAGAGGTAAAAGAGCACCTGTTTTGACATTTTTAAAAAATCTACACACATTACATGGTTTTTAAAAATTCTTTGTTTTCTGCAAATGCCTTTCTGCTATATTAACTGAAGATGTATTTTATTTCTTTGTTTTAATTCTGGGACCCTTCAGTCCGGCTAGTGCTTTGACTATTTTATTCTTTTATCCACTAACTTTTAAAAACAAGTTAGTAATGAATCAGAAATCAGCAAATATTTTGATTGCAGTATTTTTTTTTTTGCAAAACTAATATTATCTGTTGTGATAATGCGAAGACACAGAGAGAGAATTTTGGCTACTGTGGGGGGCTAAGGTTCACTCTGAAAACTGACAGCTGCCACACAGTGTAGGTAGAACATGTAATAGCCATTCCTTTTGCAACTGAGCATGGGGAAAGTAATGGCCTTCAGAAGTTCAACTTGCTTTTTTTGTATAGCAAGGCAGACTTTATGCATGAAATATCAGGTTGAGATCATACACTGCCAGTTAATTTTCAGCTCTGAATTTCATGAAGGGTATTAAATTATTAAAGTGCATCAGTTTAGCCAGTAGCCTTCTAAATCTGAAACAAAAATAGAGTTTAATTTGGAAACTCTCCTTTGTGTTCATATCAGAGAAAGGTCATCTCTTAATGTTTTTTGATATTGATTGTTTCAAAACTCAAATTTCTTAGGACCACATGACTTTTTTGATTGTAGATGTTTATAACTCAAGTAAATTTGAGGGTTGAGGTGGTATGGATACTGTTTTTTTAAAGGAAAAACACATTTTTATGTTGAAGCAAAGGTGCAAATGATAGATCATTGCAATTCTTATATGCTTCTCAGAAAAGTTGAATTCTCTCCTGTGCCAAGGGATGAAAGCAAGTTTATTTGTTTTTTTTCATCAGTAAAATGCATTGCATAACAGTCTAGGTTCTTAGTAAAGTAAAGGGAATAATATTAATAATAATGTTTCATTATTATTTGGGCCAGGTGGTGTCTCAAGGTGCCTTCCAACCTGAGCTGTTACCAGACACATAAGTTATGGAGCAAACAAGAATATTTTTAGAGGCAAAATTTTCAAAATAGCCTGTTGTATTTCCCAAGAAGTACAGCAAGAGGTTTGTATCCTCAACCCTAGATGAGACTGGATGAGATGAGACTTTTCTGTCAAAGACAGAAAAGATGGAAGGGCTTAGGCTGCAATGAGGAGCCTGCATCAGGCCCAGACATTTAACCCAGTGTGGTCCATGGGATTCAAGAAAACAGTTTCTCTTTTTAAAAAGTGAGCACCTCAGTTGCTCTTTGAAAGTAAAGAGCTTCTAAGTCTGACAAGATGATTTGCTCAACTTTCATTTTGTGTTAAGTCTGCTGAAATCCTTTTTTAGCCCTTCGCTTCTGTTTGTTTTTCTGTGTGTTGTATTTTCTAAACAATGCGTAGAATAAATGCTACCTCACAATTTTGCTGTCATGCAAATAAAGCAGTGAAAATGCATGAAAATTTTCATAGAAAATCAACTCTGTTCATCAGGGCATTGATTAGGTATACTTGGAACAACTACTGGGTAGATCTTTGTCACTTACAGAAGATTAGTACTGGGCTGGAATGGTTTCAGCTTTAAGTTGATACATTAAATCATTAATCTTCTAGATGTAAGTGAGCCTGACATAATTAAGTTATCTTAATCCCTAGAGATTTTAGCTTTCACTAAATGTCTGAGCACTGAACTAGTTAATATGAAGCAATCACAACTCCTTATAATGTCAAATTTATTCAAAGAGTTTGGGGGTTTTTTTTCTTCTCTGACACCTCTTTTCTGTGTGACACTTGCACTGAAGGCTGCATCTGTTCATATTTATTTTTTATACAGCTGTTAGGCACATATAGGAGAATATTAAAATGTGTAACTGAAGTATTTCTGCTTCCCAACAGGAATATGAACAGTGGTTATGCAAGGCTGCTTCAGTCCATTCAGAGGATCATTTCCCAGGAGGGCTTTGATGGCTCTGATCCCCAGGTACTGCACGCCCTCACACTCCTCTTTAATCCTGTAACTATTCTTTTATTGCTTTTCTTGCACAAGGTCTTGGACAAATTATTAAGGAACAAATTGTTTCTAAACATCACTAAAGTAAACAAGCAAAATAAATAGTGCTGTTCATGTTTTAAGGGCTTTTTTTGCGTTTTTTACCTGATACAGATATGCAGAGAAAGAAATTTAAGACAGCATTAATAAAATGCATTTTCTGTGCAATTAGCTAATAAATGGATGGCCAAGGATAATGGAAATAAACAAAACACATTTTCACCTACAATATTTGTTTTTCAAATTATTGCTTTAGCATAATCTGCTCAAGATTCTTGAGGTTAAACATTTACCCCTAAACGTTCAGGGTTTTTTATTGTTGTTTTAGTTTGTGTGAATTTTTTAATTGATTAAATGGTAGTATCTTTATGCGGTGAGCATTGAAAGAGAAGTAAAGAAATAAGAATGCTATTTCAATTTACAAATCAGCTTATCAGCCTTCCAAAAATCTCTGTACTCTTCATAAAGCATAAAATGTGAGAATCAAGAACACTTCAACTGTAACAACATAGGCTGAAAGACCTTTTCTAATTTGAGCAGTGCCCTGTAAGTTATTCATTGTCATATTCAGTAACGTGGCAGTCCTTTGGAGCTGATGGAAATAATATAATAAATTGTATATATTGATGCTCAATTGAAAGGTAATTCTTGCTGTACAATAGAAATGCTAGTGCAGTAGAAGCCAATTAGCACAGATTCTGGAGAGCCTGAAATGATTTAATACAAGCCCAATATCTCAGGAGTATCTTGGGAATCATTTTTGCAGGGAGATGATGCAGGAAAGGCTGTTTTCCTGGCTGCCAGTGTGCTTTAGGAGCGTTACCTGCACCGAGCCCTCGTGTGTAAATGTCGGTGCTTGTGCTCAGCCGAGATGTCTGGGAGGGTTTTGCCCTCCCCTCGGTGGCAGTGCCAGCCTGGAGAAGGCCATTGGTCCCTGCCAGGCCCCTCTCCCCACGGTAGCCATGGCAACAGGGATGTGTGTCATCCTCCTGAGCTGCACGGGGATGCTCCTCCTGCCTCAGAGCCCTGGGTGACACAAACACCCTGCCAGCCTCCAGCCAGCCTCCTGCCCAAGACATCAGCCTCTTATTGCTTATTTTGCTTTATACATACACTTATATAAAAGAAAATGAAGGTTTCTCACAGCCAGCAATTGGGTGGTTTTTTGCTTGCAAAAAGTTAAACATCACCGATCATTATTTTTCTCTGTTTTTTGTCAATTGTTTCAAAATTACTTACTGGTGTCAGCAAAACAAAACCTGAACTTTAACTGAGATTGAATGTAACTGTGTATGTTTGCTCAATAATACATATAAGTTTCAAAGGTGAAACTTTAAAAGTTAGTTTTCAGGCCAGTTTATTGATCTAGAAAGCCATTAGCACTATGTAGTTCTTTCTGTTTCAAGGGGGTAAGGCATACGATTTCCTGGAGTGGTTTCTATTATTTTCTTCTCATATTTTGCTTTTCCCCTTGTGTCATCTTTCTTTGTACACTCAAATTTTGTACATTTAGAAACCTTGTATAATACACACTTCTTAAAAATGTATCCAGAATTGAATGCAGCAGTGGCCCAGAGCACACCTTGGATCTTTTATTTGCCAAATCTCTGAGCAATTCTCTGCTATTTCATTTAATTTCACTTTACTGAGCCCTCAGAAATGCTTTTTGAATAGGCAGTTGTGAAGATTGTAAGGAGCAGCCTGTATCCTTCTGGACCTGTGTATGGTTGCCATATATAACCATAAAAGCTTCTGAGAAGTTTGTGCATGTACTCCCACCCCCACCCCCAAATAATCCTCTACCTGACTGGTAAAACTTTCAGATATTTTTGGCTGCTTTCACATCAATTTGCCACTGATACTTAGATTTACTTCTTTTTTTGAAGAAAACTGAGCAGAATGTGACTCACCCCAGCTGAGAGATAGTTTGACACAATTGGGAAAATCAGTGAAAAATCACCATTAGAGATTTAGCTCTAGGACCTGGTACAGTCAGGTGACATTAGTTAATAGTTAATAATTAGTTAATATTTGGAAAATCAGAGTTCTAATTACCTAGAAGCTACAAATACAAGCATCAGGTTTACAGCCTTTCTAAAGCCTCCCAGTAACTCTGCTGCTGATCCTGAAGTAGGAATCCTTTACAATTTGATCATGGCATTAAGTTAAATAGAATAGCACCTCTTTGTTTCAGAGTATTTTGGGGGTTTCATGTTTGTCATCACAGCTTTAATAGGCAACTATTTCCTTAACATTCATCTTGTATACTTTGGAGCCTTTTAGGGTAATTGTTTGGGGAGATTTTTTTTCGTTGTTGTTGACTGTTACAAAAATTAAATTTAAAAAATTTTTAAATTATAAAATAAATCCAAACTTCCAGACTAATGCAAATACTAAAGATCTAGTGGTGCATTTTAAAAAATGGTATCCTACTCTTTACAGCAGGCTGGTTGTGGGACAATATTAGACTTACGCTTTTATTATATTTCAGTTTTGGAATAAACTGAAACAGGAATAAATTATATATATTATGTATATTATTATTTATGTTTTTATATAATAAATTATGCTGGTAGAAGTTCTCTTACTGACCAAATCAATACATCTGATAATCTGGTGTTTGAATAGCTTTATCTTTTATTACTCTTATGATTTGATGTTGTGAAATAAGCATCTGTCATCCTCTCTCCATTAAGAGAACAGTTTTTTCCTCTGTATGTTGTTCTTATGGATGTTCCTCATAAGAAAAAATATTTTTCTCATTTAAAAAGTTTCTGTAAGTTTTATGTATGTTTGTGTTGAAGTTTTGAAATACTGCAACTCTTTCTCTGCCGGTTAATGTCCATGATAGCTGGATAAAGCAGTTTTCTTAAAAGCCTGGTTGTTTCCCTGTTGCTTAAGTGCACATCAAGAACTGCCTGAATCTGATCTGATCAGAAGTAATTAAAGAACATTAGACTAAAACTTCTCTTTTTTGCTATTCTTTTTAAAACTGCACACCTGAGAGGATACCATACGGAGAAGTGTTGTCTTATCCTGTACTGTTGTCCTGACATGCAGCGGAGTAAAAAGTTCACTTTTTGTAACTAAAGCCTAAAAGCCTGCAAAGCCTGAGACTGAAGAAGCCAGAGCTGAAACACAGATAGCTTCCCCAGGGACTGGAGGTGAATTGGCAGATCAGCTCCCTGCGTGAGACACACAAGTGGATAAAAGCAGAGCCGTGCGGTGCTGACTGTGTCTCACCCCCAGGCTCTGCCTACCAACATGGATAAGGCAGAATTCAGAAGAGCAGCCTCTTGTCTTGTCAAAACCTTTCCTCTGGATTTCCAGAGCAGCTGTGCCATGGTTTGTGCTTGAGAGTTGCTGTTTACTCCAGCTGTTGGAAATGAATATCTACTGATGCCTTGAGAAGGCTGCCCTAGAACAGAGATCAGACAGTTACAGAATGAAGCAGGGATTCATTCCAAGGATCTCCTCCATGGATCCACCTTGGGCAGCACAAGAGCCCAGCCAGGGCTGCAGCCAAGATGAACCCAAATGGTCCCAAAATGCACGAGCGCTCACGGGGTCTCTCCCTGGGATCAGCTCTGCTCCATGTGCACATTGCAGTTCAGTGTCCAATTCCAGCTCAGCCCCTGCACTCCCATCCTGCTTGTTTTTCTCTCTCCAGCCCACGGGGTTTGTGCTCTTGGGGCTGAGATTGGGATCATTTGTCCTTGGTGCCCAGCTGGAGCAGGAATTGTTTTGTGTCCCTGCTCTGTGCACAGAGCTCACCATGCCCTCATGTGAAGCCCAGACCCACACACTAAAGCATCACAGAATGTGAAAAATAGAAAAGCTAAACCTGAGGCATCACTGCAGTTTATCAAAACACCTTTCTCTAGTGAAAAGTACCAAGCTTTTACTTATCAAAACTAGTATTTATATGTGTGTGTGTGTATGTGTATAATTAAAGAAAGCTGATCTTCAAGTATGAACCCTGAACTCTAGAAATGTTTCTTTGGTCACCTTGTGCAGGAAGTCTTTCAGTGAGGGAGTTCATCGTTAATCTCTCAGCTACTGATAACCAGTATACCTAAAATCCTTTCCAAAGACCACCAGGAAGGGTCACATCAAACACGCAGAAATGAGAGTTATCATCATGAGAGATAACATTTTCTTTTGCATAAACAAATTAAAATTTGACTTCGTCATCTGTCCCTTCAGAAAGGGAGCTATATCTTGGCCACTGCCTCTAAAGCAGAAACTCTCATGTCAAGGTGGGGTCCTTAAGGGACAATCTGCCTCCATCAGTCTCTGTGTTTCCACAGCTCTGGCTACAACTTAGTGGGAAGGAGTTGAAAGGAAAATTAAGGATACTTGGAGACTTCGAAGGCAGTGGCAGGCCCCTCTGTTGGTGAGCAAAGCCTTGTTCTCTCAAAAGGAGCAGAAAAAGGAACTGAAGCAAGCAGTGGAATAGTCAGGTTGTGAAAGTGACGTGGCAGAAAGGTGAAAATAGAGGGAGAAGTTGTGGTTGATTACTCCAGCAAGTTGTCTTAGGACTGGGAGAAAATACTCTTCCACATGATTTTTAAGACAGTGATGGAGGGAAGAAAGGATGTAAAATGTCTTAGTGTTACTAGATGTTATTTCAGAATATACTTATATTTAGTTGGTTAAAAAATACAAATTAATAGTTCTCAGTATTTCCATGTGTTTATTTATTGCATTTGTACTTGCTTATCCATGATATCTAAGCAGAGAAAAAAATCCCATTCCATTTGCAATTTCTATGAGATCAACAGTGATTATTATGATTACATAAAACACAGAATTATGGATATGCACTCTAGAAATTGTATTCCTCTGAGCATTTAAAAAAAATAATGACTTTTTAATTTTTTTTTCCCAACAGAAAAAACAAAGGAATATTTTAAGGATAGGGATTCAGAGCCTGGGCTCCATATTGTGGGGTGATGATGTTTGTTGCAGTGATACCCCTGAAGATCCTCAGAGCCTGACCAAATTCCTGTATGTTCTGCGTGGGCTGCTCAGGAAATCCCTGTCAGCCTGCATCATCACAGTGCCTGCCCACCTCATCCAGGTAGGAATGCTGCTCTGGCTGGCTTCCAGAGCTGGCACATCACTTAGCAAAAGTTGGTAAAAAAATTAATGCAGTTCTGGACTTTTTTTTAAAAGTCTTTTTGTCCAAAGTATGGCTTTAAATATGATTGTATCTTATGTTTTATGCTTTTGTGGGAGAGTCATGCTGCAGAATCTACGAAGACCTAAGTAGAAAATTATTTTAGGAACACTATTTAGTAGTCCACTAAAGTACACAGATTTTGGGGGTTTTATTGATGAAACTTCTAGGGCAAACAGTGCATGAAGGAAAAAGAAAATTCTCTTTTCTCAATCACAAAAATAGGAATAAATTATTCTGGAAAAGGGTTTCAGGAGAATGACACAAAAAACTTACCCAATTATGAATTTTAGGAGCAGTTATGCCAAATGTGGGTCTTATTCCTTTTTTTAAAAATTGTCAAAATTTCAAAAACTGTATTACCTGTAGTAATCTCTTTTTCAATTATTTTTACAACCCCTCTATGCACTTTCCCAGTGCTTTCAAAATGCTTTTTGGAGTATCAACACAAGGCTTTTCATTCTGCTGTTTTTATCTAAAATGCTCATTATAGTGGTATTTGGTCTTGTTTTTAAGGGTACAGATTTGCTCTGTAATTCTAATATCCTCTTCTCTTGGGACTAGGAGCAAACCAGTTATGGCAGGAGTCGTTTTCCCAACTGCAAAATCAGAAGCAATTAACAGCATTGTTCCTGATAGTATACAGAGATTTAAATATATCTTCTGAAAATAAACTTTTTCAGCAAAAGGAAAAATGCAGATAGTCTTTTGTTCTGTGAGTGGTACTGTAGCTTACAAAAGCAGAAATATTATTATTCACAATGAACAGAGAGCCTATAATTTTATGTATTTGATTTGATTACAGTTAAAAAGTACTGGATAAAACCTCATATTATGGAAAATATTTTCATAGTAGGTGAGTTTATCAATGAAATCCTGGCTTGGGTAGGTACATGACTCACATGTACTGCATTTTGTTAAAGGTTTTTGAATATCTGCAAATGTTATTTATTTAAATAGCAGTGCAATTAATCCTTCAAAAATAAAGAAGGTTTATTTTCTAGTTTTACCATTGAAGTCAAAAGTGTGTGAATATTTCTCTTGCAGTACATACCTCCATCTACTTACTTATTTTTAAATATTGGGTGGCAGTCTGCCTTCAGAAAGAGGGGCAGTTAAATTTAATGCAAGAAATAGAATTTGTGAATGTAAAACTATGAACCTACTTCTTACAATCTGGAATCGCCTGTCCATAACTGGGATATATTTCCATTGTAGTCTTCTTTATATATTGTGCCAATAAAAAGTATGTTTGTATTTTAGAGAAGTACAGGAGTGTCTATAAGAGAGAAACTGAAGTTTGATTCAAACTTACTCGAAAAGTTGATTCTTGGTTTGTGTTTATAAATTCCAGGGAGTTAGGATGGAAATTATAGCTTATTTTGTAAATAACTGGGTTTTTAATTTTGAAAAATAATAAAAAAAAAAAAATTAGAAAATTCTCAATAAAAAAAATCAATGTATGGAACATGCATAATCTTTGCTTAGCCACCTTAAACAAACAAGGGCATTAATTTAGTTTTTTTTGGAACGGTGGAACTCGGTGTACCCTTTACACGCCGCGCTGTGCCGAGAGCCGTCATTAGGAGCAGCAGAGCTCCTGAGGGTCCCTCCTCGGCCACATGAGTGAGTTCCCAGAGCCCTGCTGTGTGCTGTGTGCTTGCTGCCCTCTCCAAGAAGCCTGTCAGAGAGCCCCTGGGATGTGTGCAGCCTCCCTGGCACCGTTAATTGGGGATGCTGGCAGGGCGAGAGCGCAGCCCAACATGTGCGGAGCTGCTGGTGCTCACAGCAGCTGCTCTCCTTCCCCCTGCACAGCTCCTCTCCTCTCACCAAGTGAGGAAAACATCTCTTCTTCCCAGCATAGTCACACAGAGGGATCTTTACTTTTTTTTTTTTTCAAGTGTATATATGTTTAATTCCGTCAGCCAGTTCTAGCACGTGTTTATCTCTTGAATCCTCAAGTCAGTGCACTGAACACGTAGGGAATTCACACTGTTTTCCTGAAGATATAGCAAATTCCCCATTTTTTTCCCTGGACTACTCTAGTACTACTCTAATAGTTCCTCTGCTTCCCAGGTTGTAGTTCAACCCCTAACTAAATTAATTGGGTGGACCTCCATGTAAATTCTTCACATGTGTAATTTTCATGAAGGACATCTGAGTTCAAAATCACATTTAATCCAAGTTTTGTCTGGATGATAGATACAAAAATATAGCTTTGTCCTTGCCTGCTTTGTCATGAAAATGTAGATTTTTGGTGGTGACATAACTTACCTTGTCTCTGTCAATCTCCAGTACTAGTGACTCCAGTGAAGAAGAAATAAAACAATAGGTGGTACTGATTTTTGGCTGGGGCAATGTCTTTTCAGCCCAGACTCATTCTGGTTTTTATATTAAGTATATGAATTATGCACATATATATGTATGTGTGTGTGTGTGTTTTTGAAATTGTTTTCTTTTCTGTATTTTGCCAAATACTTGCATGTTGTAATGTGACAGGGGGTTCACAAATTGCTTTCTTTTTCAGAAAGTTTAATTTTGCCTTTACCTTTCACATATTATCCTTTTTTTTTGGCTAGTGAGACATTAAAATGATCCTCCCTATTTCATATTTTCTGTATTCTGGTTTGTAGTTTTTCTCCTGCTGCCTCCTTAATCTGTTTCTAAACAGTCACTTACCTTTTCAGATAGTACAGCACTGCTGTTATTGTTTGTTCACTTTCCCTGCATTCTCATGTCTGGTTTGACTCCTCAGTGATTGCAGAGCATTGAACAGTGATTTTGTTCTTGATGTTTTTCCCTCTGTGATACACATGCACCAGTGTGGCTCTTACATTATTCCAGCAATTCATTGTCTTAGATTTAATAATTTGGAATTGCATTTATCCAAAGATAATGCTCATTAATGCAGCCTGGTGGGACAGTTCATGATGTCCTGTAAGGCTGTGTTTTGGTAAAAGACACAAGTTTGCAAAAAAAGTCTGTTTGTGTGTGGAGTTTTTCCAGAGTAACTGGAAAAAAATTGTAGTGCACTAAATTACACAGATTTTGGGAGTTTTATTGATGAAACTTCTATGGCAAACAGTGCATGAAGAAAAAAAAGAAAATTCTCTTTTCTCAACCACAAAAATAAGAATACACTATTCTGGAAGAGGGTTTCAAGAAAATGACACAAAAAACTTATCCAGTTATGAATTTTATTCAGGTGATGTGTGACAAGTTTTATTTGATTGATATTTTCTACTGATTGAACATCCTCTTATCTTACACTGTCTGTCAGGTAATAAATATTGAGCTACTTACAAGTGTGATTAAAATAGTTGATGGAAGGTTATTTTTCAAGTCTTCCTACTGCTTCTTGAAAATGCATTGTGCCTAAGAAATCATATGGTACATTTGAAAAGGGAAAATTACTTCAATTTTTAAAATCTAGCATTGATCAAGGAGAGCAGACTGAAGAGGCATTTCCTTTGTTGTTACAATTTCCAAGTTTAAGGAATATTATAAAAGCAAGTCAGAATTCTTTTTCTGTGTTTTGATAATCAATGCATTTAAATACCAAATTTGGAAAAAGAATTATTGTGCAATTGTGTGAATGAAAGGACTTTAATGTTACTGGACTCTAATGGAAAAGTCCTGAATTAGGATTTAAAATATTTTCCCATTGTATTTTTTTCTTTAATGACTAGAAATTATTGGTAAATCCAAGAACATCTTTCCCTCAAAATGCTAAATAATGTTTTTTATTCTATTCCTGTCCTTCCCAATTTTGTATCACTTAAGTAGCAGTAGATTTTTCTGAGTGGATTATTGTATTCAATGGGGAAAGCATAGCACTTGTTATAGCCATCCTTTATTTTGAACTCAAAACTGATATTACTGATAAGGACTAAAAACCATATTAGTCAGCATGTACCAAGGGAAATTAATTGACTAATGAAAAGTCAGTATGAATAAGTCTTCTTACAGAGCCTGTCCTCAGAGTCTGAAGTTCTGTTTAGCAAGGTATTTTCATTATTTCATCCAGTAGGTTAAAAAATTAATTTCCTAAAATATTAATGTTTTGAATTCACCCAAGTGTAGAAGTTACTGTAGGTTTCAGTGTAGAAAAATTCAGAAACAAACCTTTGCACATCCCAAGCCTTTTGTGCTCACACTGAGTGATTTAGCAGCTAAACTCAAAGTCAAGAATCCATTGCTAATACAGGATTATAAGATGTGAGCTCCTGTAGCTGGTGAATTTTTCACAGTTTGAAATCTTTATTCCTATGACAAGAACTAAGAGTGATTGCCTACCTTAGAGCTCTCACTTCTGAGAGTTCAATGGTCTAAAGTGCTCAATAACCTCCAAGTGTATTTGATGAGGTAGCTGCACGAAGATTTGCATTGAGATCCAACAGCATGTGGGTTTTATATCATAATTAAGGAAGCATAAAAATTTCTCTGCAAAATACAAACCATGAAGATGAAATGGTCTTAATATTTTTCTGTATTTTTTGCATGCTTTTTAATGTTGCATGTTGCTTTTTGTTGTATACAAGACATACATTTTAACAGCTGTAGAAATAAGTATCAAGAGCCATAAGTTTATGACAGGTATTTTGGGTTATTCACATAGTTTTAGGGTATGAGTATTTTTGGTTTTTAGACATCCTTAAAAGCATCTTTAAAATTCTGACTGAGTAGGAAGCTCAGGGAAGTGTCCTATTCAAAATTTAATTTGGGAAACAGTATATTTTTCATTTCTCTTATTGCTGCTGTATTTGCTAATCAAGCTGTAGAAGAAATAAAAGTCTTTTGTGGTTTTACAAAAGGAGATTTTGGTAGCCAACAGGCTGTGTTCGGGCACTAGCACTTCTGATTTGGTAACAACTACCCATTTCAAAAACAAATACAATACACACCTGAAGCATGTTTTTGTCCCCACATATTAGCTGTCTGTTAACCAAATTAACTATATTGTGGTGAACAGTCACACTGTTTGTTGAGGTGGAATGCCTGAAAAGGTCTTGTCATTTTAATGAATTTTACTTGTTAGAAGGACACTGTATACACACCCTCCCCGTCTCTCTTTAATAAAAAACCTCTTTCCCAAAATCCATAAATTAAACTGGAGAAGTGCACGAGTGCACACACAACACAGCGATTTTATTTTACATTTTACGTGTATAAACTGAAAATTGGCCTGTGAAAATCAGGTAAGAGTTAGAACCAAATCTTTGAACTACAGCATTAGAGCTAAACAGTTAAATATCCCATCACAGTATGGAGATAGTCATCTGTTCAAGCATATGGAATCTTTTGGCTACTGGACTAAGCAGTTAATATAATGCCCAGTGTCCAGACATGGACACAACTGTTATGGAAGCAGAAGGGAGGAGGCTCATGTATTGAGCCCATTTGGACACTGATAAGTCAAGATTAAAAGAGTGACTTCAAATAATACAGGGCAAAGGAGTTATTGCTTTAAGCAAGTCATTCTTTTAGAAAATGCAAGGTAGCATATTTTTTCCAAAGCAGCTTTTTTTTTTTTTTTTTTTTTTTTTGCTTAAGTTCAGGTTCTTGAGGGGAAAAAAAAAAAAAGCCCTGTGACTAGCATTAAATATAGGGTTTATCTGCTCTGTTTCAGAATCAGAACAAAGAACAAAATAATTGTGTACAACTATTTTACGTGTAAATTCTTGCATATGTATTTTCCATCTTAAGTGATTTTCACAGAACCAAATATTAAGCTTCTATGCAATGTGTGCTTAGGAACATTTTGATGGAAACTTTTGGCGTTGTTTAAAAATCCTAAAATTTTGGAATCCAGTTCTACCTCTTTTTGTTTAGACATTGTCTATTAATTAGAATATAATAATAATAAAAAAGAATACTGCATCTTTAATGATGTTTTTGTGCCTGTGTGGTTAAGCTTTAATGCTAGGAGGAAAAAAAAAAAAAAAGATTAAATTAGCCTTGTAACCTCTTTCTCTTCCAGACTGATGATGGAAAATAAAAGCTCTTAGCCACAGAATGTAACACTTAGAATTAATATTTAATTAGACCAGCAAATTGTACACCGTGGCTGAAAGCTTCCAAAGAGTTGTTAGTGCCACAATTGACCTACAAGTTTAATAATAACTCACTTCTAGGAGCAAGTGCCAGTTCAGCATAGTGGAGCCACTGTAAGAAAGTCCTGGGAGATTAAAATCAGCAAACCAAATGGCAGGCGAGGATTCCTGGGATGGAGCCTTCTGGAAAGCTGGGAGCTGGAGTAGCTTTGCAGCCAGGATTCAGATGAGAACAGTGGGCAAAAAAAGCTGATCCCTCCTGTTCTGGGAGCTTCTGGTTGTAGGCCAAAATCTTAGAACAGATTTTTTCCTAAATGTTCTTACTGCAGCTATTAATTTATATCGCACATCAAGTCATGAATGGCTTATCTTAATCTTTTAATTCGGTTTTAATACGAACATTGTCACTGAATTCACTGTTCATGGATTTTACTCCTGGAAGAAGGGTACATTTTTGGTATCATCTGTCATTTAGTATGTTTGTATTGCAGAATGTTTAATTTTATATGCTACATAAAGGGGTCCTTCTTAGAGTAAGACATGACAAGCAATTTGTGGTAATATTATAAAATGTGTAAATCAAATATTAAACGAGTATACATTGTAAAATATAATATTTTGAAGGTTAAATAGCCTAATCTTGCTTTTCATTTTACGAAGAATTAAAATATAAAGCCAGGCACTCTCCATTAGACATCCATCCGAGCCTTAATTCTGTGGCAAATTATTCTACTGAAATAGGGCACCATAAGTTCAAAAATGTGCAAGCACACAGCAACAGACTGAGGAAGGAGCACTCTGCATTATTTATTGGCTGGATCCTAAATAATTAAAGAAATGCCTACTCATTAGTTAAAAATTAAAGCAGGGAGGCCCTTGCCAGCAGAGGGAGCAGTCATGTCTTGCCTTGGGTCCCCTTCGTTTCCAGCCCACCCATCATTTCCACCCTTCCTCTCCTTATTGCCCAGCCAGTTTCCCATCTGGACCCAGCTCTGCCAGCCTGCTCCTGATGACAGCCTATAATTTTGGACTGGATAAGGGATTAGTTTTTTAAGTGGTTTTTATATTTCAGAATCTTGCCACTTGGTTATCAGCACCAGTTAGGTGTTCCTTTTGATGCTTGTGTGCTATTAATTGAAGTAATAGCGCAGGTTCTTTTTGGTCACCTGGGAATAAAATGAGATTCACTGTGTAAAGAATTGAAGTTGCAATGACTGTCAGCCTTTCTAAATTGGTAAGAAAACTGCAATGGCATTTTTTTTCAGGAAAATGGCAACAAAAGGAACTCCTGAACCTTTTTCTTATGATGAATGACTCCCAATGGAGTCATAGGATTTTAGTTATGCCAGTTGGTCTCAAATATGTAATTTTGGCA